CCTGGGGAACACCACTTGTGACCAGCCCCAACGGGATTTAATTCCATTCACTACCACTCTTTGGGCCTGGCCATCCAGCCAGTTTTTCACCCAGCAAAGAGTATGCCCATCCAAGCCATGAGCAGCCAGTTTCTCCAGGAGAATGCTGTGGGAAATGGTGTCAGAGGCTTTACTAAAGTCTAGGTAGACAAGATCCACAGCCTTTCCCTCATCCACTAAGCAGGTCACCTTGTCATAGAAGGAGATCAGGTTGGTCAAGCAGGACCTGCCTTTCATAAACCCATGAGCTGACTGAGCCTGATCACCTGGTTGTCCTGTACACGTGGTGTAATGGCACTCAGGATGATCTGCTCCATCACCTTCTCGGTGACCAAGGTCAGGCTGACAGGCCTGTAGTTCCCCAGATCCTCCTTCTGGCCCTTCTTGTAGATGGGCGTCACATTTGTTTTAACTTCGAGTTGACTGGGATCTCCCTGGTCAGCCAGGACTGTTGATAAATGATTGAAAGTCGCTTGGTGAGCACTTCTGCCAGCTCCCTCAGCACCGTTGGGGGGACCCCATCTGGCCCCACAGACTTGTGTGTGTCCAGGTGGTGTAGCAGGTCACTGACCATTTCCCCTTGGGTTGTGGGGGCTTCATTCTGCTCCCCGTCCCTTTGTTCCAGCTCAGGGGCCTGGGTACCCGGAGAACAACTGGTCTTACTATTAAAGATTGAGGCAATGAAGGCATTAAGGACCTCAGCAGTTTCTTCATCCTTTGTCACTCTGTTTCCCCCTGCATCCAATAAAGGATGGAGATTCTCCTTAGCTCTCATTCTGTTGCTTACGTATTTACAGAAACATTTCTTATTTTCTTTTAAGGCCATGTCTGTTACATTTAGAGCATTGTGCTAGCTTAGGAAAAACTGAGTATTTGGAGCAGTAAAAAAAGAGACAGTAACCTGTGTAAGCAATGCATTCACCACCTTTCCATAGACCTGTTCTCAGGAATGATGATGGTGTGTTTTCCTGAAGGACGTCATAAAGCGGGTACTTAGTGTTCAAATAGGAGAAGGATGCAAAAAGCAGAGAAATGAAAATTTCACTAGAAAAGGCTGAAATTACAGTTTACAAATTGTCTTTATCTGCGCACTCTTTATCAAGAGGTGCATAATTATACAGCTTTGACATTTTCATCAATGTACCCTCATTAATAACACAGAAAATTATACCTATTTATAACTTCAACATATTTACAATATACTCTGATGTTCACACGGCTCTGACAGTAAAAACAGCTTAAAATATTTTATTAATTCAAACTTTAAAAAAAAGGATCTCAGTTAGAAGGATTGCTAGGTTTACAATAATAAAAAATGAAACTAAGAAGTGCAGTAATTCACTTGCTGACATCAGAATTAAAGTGTTTCACTGCAAGTAACTTTAGACTAAAGTTCAATATGTACAGACTAAGAAAAACAAATACAACTGATGTCACCTGATTAAATTCTGTTCAGTAAGGAGAACCATAAGTACAATTAAAGCTACTAATAAATATATGAAAAGCTTTCAAAAATGCTATACGTTCTATTCACAACAATTATTTACAATTTGTAATTTGTCTGTGTTATTATTATATCTGCTTTCTCCTACAAGCTGCTCCTCAGGTAGGTTTTGGTAATCTGGATTCCAAACATTTAAAATTGTTCTGTGCTTTAAGTTGCTGCTTAATCTACGTAGAAGGTTAAGTACTATCAATCTGCATTTTCCCTATGGCAATTTAAAGTAACTAGTTACTTTCAGCTAGTAATAGTACCTTGTCATTCCTCACAGCGACAAGAAGCATTATTTCTACTGACAATAGAGAAAAATGAAAATGTGAACTATTCAATAAAAGGCTAGTAATAAAATTACTGTGGCGTGGAAGAAAGGAGGAAAATGAAACAAAATAAACAAAATCCTCCTCACAGCCATTATCAAGAGGTTATAAAATTTTTCTCAGCTAACTCTCCTATTAGCATTCACAAAGCTTTTTTTTCATGGTGATTTTTAAGCATCACTGTAGTCTGACTATTCTTCTACTGAGATTTTAAACTGTCAGATGAGGATGGGTAGGAGGAACTTGCCAAGAAAAAAAAAGATTCTTCAATTTTCTTGGCGGATTCAGCTTTTCCCTATTAATGTTGAGATTATTTCTTCGACTATTTTGTTGCAAATATTTATGACTCCATATGGAACAACAGATGTTGAAGGGAAGGGATAGCAGAAAAGACTTCATTTTCAGCAATTACCCTGCTACTTGTTGTCATACTGTAGGTGTTCTTAGTGCATCTATTTTACATACCACCCTGTCCTTTCACACACTGCAAAAATGTCAGTTTGGATAATTAACGTAATAACTTTCGTCCAAATCATTTCCACAATATTCATTTATGAAAAAAGAAATATAAATAGGACAACAGGAGGAAGAAATTTGGAAGGAAAGGGGAAGATAGGAACTGCTTTCCCAGTCCTTCTGGAATATGTGATCAGGAATCGGTTTCTTGCAAAGCTGCATTAAGGTCCTTAATACAAAATCTTTCCCTTTTTTCCTTTGAGATAGATTCCAATGATTGCCACCAAGAAGAGAAATCATACAAGAAACAGAAAATCAAAGCCATCCAAGAAGCAGTACAATAAACAGTAAAATTATTGCATAAGAAAGGTGAAGAAACACAGGCTGGGTGTGATGAGGATAAATAGGAACAGGTTGATGGTGTTCAAGCTGAAGAAGTGTCTGTTAACTGAACTGTCAGCTTACCAGCACAGGCAGCCAGAGCTGGCTGGAGAATATCAGTCCCCACCACGCAGACGGTGAGGTCCACTCGCAGGCAGAATCGCGCCTGCTCTGCCATCTCCTCAGGCAGCACATTCAAGCCAGCTCCTGGCCAAACACAACTGTGATTAGTGAGCATCACGTTCAGATTAATAAACCATGCTTCAGCATGTATCCAAGGATGGTGCATGAGGGACCCAGGAAGGAAGGAGAGGGAGAAGGGTAATAACTCAATCCCAGCACCATGCTAACTGCAGCTACGTGGCTTCTGGACAGGAGGTAACCTGCAGAACGGGCAACACAAGCTGGCAGCTGCCCGCAAAAGCCACCTACACAGGTCTGCCTGAAGGCGGAGATGGGCTGTCGTGGGCATGCTCTGCTGACGCCAGGTATGTCTGTAAACGTAGTGCTCAATAACTGACAAGCAAAACCAGGTACCCAAAAAAAAGGCCTTCTGTGCCTCCACAGTTAGGCAATCTCTTTCAAGTCCCACTCATTGCAATAAAAATACACAACGTGCTTTTAAATAATTTTCATCATTCTACTCCCTTTATTGCAGTATTTGGTAGTATAACCAATAATTTGAAACAGACCTCATTAGAAAGATCCCATTTTCTCCTATTCACAAAACTCACACAACTATATAAATGCTTCCAGATAGCTGTGATCAGTGGGACCAAATTTTCACCAGTATGGCACATATGATTGTGTTCCTATTTTGCACCTGAAAAACTTCACCTTCCTGCTAAAGCTGCCACCAGGAGAGGCTTTTCTGAACTTGTCTTCCTGGTCCGGAGAACTATTCAAACGTCAGTTGTGCACACGCTAGGTGCAAAGTCTGTGTTCCCAGTCTCGGGCAAAACCAGGCTGGAAACAAGATGCTTGTTGCCTTCTGGGGTCTGGGCAGTAAACACAAGTCCTCTCTGGCCATAAGCAAATCTAAAGGCGTTACAGAATTGAGCAATAAGGAATGATGTTATTCCCTGACATCAAAGCTTAGTGATCACCAGCAGAACTGACTGGTAGCCAGGGAGCCAGCTGCGGGGCTCTGGGTGCCATCAGAATAAGGGAAAGGAACTCTAAACCTCAAAGTCTGTAAGTATAAATATTTCTGTAATGTGCTCGTCTTCTGTAGGATCATACACAGGTAATGATATATGGAGATTATAGTTATGTATTGTATGACTTACGCTAACATAGTAATTATGACACACAAGATACTTCACCTCTTAATATATTTTAAAATAGTACCAAACCAGTATTAATATTATTACTGTTGAGTTCAATTTCTTAAAGTACATGTATAACCGGCAGTTAAGTCCCTCAGATATTTGAAGCAGGCAGAGGACTCCATTTCCTGGACATTCCTGGATAATTATTCCTCCTTTATTAAGGTTTATTTTACAACTGTGTAAAATAGGTTATAAAGGACAATTCTGCTATTATGTCCTGCCTTGCTTAGGCTTAATAAATATTATATTCCACACCATCCATTAAAGCCAAGCAGTGGAGAAAATAGGAGTGGTAGTAATCTCCTCCACAGATGTAAAATACCTTTAATAAAATAAGGGTGTATAACAGTCAGGAACAAATTACAGAGGTCTGCTTTAATAAAATAGTACCCTTAAAGAAGTATTACTCTTAAGGTACTGACATTCCCACTGGTGATGCAGTGTATCCTTTCAAAGCAGTATAGCTTGTTAAAATGGCAAGATATCTTTCTGCAATAGAGTGTTTGTGTCCAGGCAGATACAAGGTTTGTATAGAATGCATCCAGGGAGCCATAAAACTGGTGGGAAACATATTTCTCTGTGGTATTTTAGTACTTCGAAAAATTCAATCACTGGGAAAAAATGTTTTGCTGTAAACATCTGAAGAGCCTTATAAAAGCAATGGCTTCCCACAGCACCTGCTTAAATAATTTTAAGAGGGAGCAAGTATGTCTTTGCTCATCTTCTAAAACTTGTAGAAAGCTTCTCCTATTAATTTCTCTGGTGCTGTCAGGCCAGGGCACTTTTAATCAGAAATAATTATGAGTGCAATTGGGGGATGTTCACCAGCAGGATTTTGGCACTGTAGAAATAAGACAACTTTCAAAACTGATCGCTAGGAGAAATACAATTACCTTAAGAGGAAAATACACGCAGAAAGATGATCCCCATAAAAGTTTCCTTGTGAATGAATTATGAATTCTTCAGATGTCAACAAAGAAGTACTCTGCTTATATATCCTAGTGTTTGAATTCAGTTCAGTTACACACTGGTTTTATAAACCCTGATCATCAAGAAGCATGAGAAATTCATCCCTTTTCAATTGACCTTGTAATTGATTTAATTCTACCGGTGAGTAGCAGTTCCGTGCTGTAGCTGTTACCAGTACGACTCCTGACATAGCCCTGTTGTAGACTCCCACAGAAAACCTGAACCTTGCGCCAGCTCCTCGCTCAGAGCTCGCACCCTGCAGAGAGCACGGCCTTCGGTCCCACGGCATGGGGTTGCGGCACAGCCCTGCCGCCTGCCAGCCTGGCTCTCGCTGCTGCAACCAGGGTTCTGCACAAAACAAGACATGCACCCATCTCCCACGCTGGGGCTTAGCCAGCCCGCGGTGTGCAGCAACACTCCAAAGTGCTGTCATTTAGACAGTGCCGATACCTCTTGTAGATATTAGAGGTTACAGAACTGAACCCTAATGCGACCGAGCCTCTCTTGGGCTACAAAACAGTCAGAGTTTGGCTTATCCCTCTTCAACTAAGAGGGCAAGTAATGGGCCCTCTGATAGAAATGTTCGCCTGGCGTATCGATATTACATCTGAGTAACAGAATGATTCGACTCGCATATATCAGCGTTACAGGAGCTCTTGGTGTGGAGAGCCACACGTCCATAGCAACATAGCACAGCTCTTCCCCACCAAATAATTATGTGATGCTCTGGGGAAAGACAAGTTTTCCTAGCACACAGTCAATCTATCCAAAGGGAAAACTCTTTCTGACCCGAACGGCAGCTGCAATCAGAGTATAAATGTAAGCTAACCATGAAGTAGTCCACATGCACTGCTTTGCAACCTAGTAACTGTTAAGTCTACTGCTGTCACTTACCCTGAGCTCTTTTAAAAGATCAAATCCTGGGGAAAGGAAAGAAAGAGGAAAACTTTCTGCAGAAAGCGGCAGCTATCTGACTTTAATCGACTGTATTCTTCCTTCAGATCAGGCGGGGTGGTGCGCTGGGCCAGCGGGGAGGCAGGAAGCCACGTGCTCCGCGCCTCTCCCCTCACAGGCCACCACCTCTTCAGTGACCACCCCGTGGCAGGGGCTCCCAACACTTATCTGAGACAAAACATCACTTGTAAAAAAGTTAAGTATTTAAACCACAAGAGGCTAATTCCAGGGTCCTACATTTTACTCTAACATGTTACTAGCACAGTGCAGGAGTACAATTCTCAGCAACTGGTCAACAGCTTTCCTCTGCCCTTCCCTCTGCCCAAGACCTCAACACCCATGCCATAGACCTGAAACAGCAAGATGAGTAAAGTTATGCCCTGCTATGGAATGTGGCGTATAGCAAAGTTTGACAGTAAAGCCCTGTTGCTTAGGCTAATTTCATTAATAACAGCATAACATCTGCTGAAGGCAACGCATAAAAGGTGGAGAACTGAGCAATGAAGATTTTTATTTTTTTTTTCCCTCACAGCCATATGTATGTACAATCCCATTCTTTTAGTGATTTGGCATTGCAAACCAATCACTGTAAGAAAATTTTGAGAAACTTCATGAACCTTTTGCCTCTAAATCCCTGTCATTCATAGTAGGCTTTAAGACAAACAAAAAATGCCACTGGCATCATCATTACTAAATAAAATCTACTAAAAACATTACTGGATAAATCTCTTGGACTTACATGCTTCTGAACTAAAAACAAAATACAAACTCAAACAAATTACACAGAAACCAAGTACTCCAGACCTCTCACGCATTCACAAACAGACTTCAAACCAGTCATGGATTGGGTTGGAGGCTGCAAAATCCGGCTTTGTGGACCTGCCACTTTCTGTGGCTTTCAGATTTGGCAGCCCCAGCCCGGGGGGGGGGGGGAGGCAC